TCGTGTGAGATTAGGCTTTTCGTGTGTTATGGAAAGGTTCACTGTTTGGCTATTCATACTAGCAAATGCTTTCAATATTTCAGGATGGATGGCGGCCTGAGGGGGTGTCCACGTGGATTTAGGAATAAACATTGTTCTAGCACCACGTGGGGGGTGGTTTCGAAAAAAATATGTGCAGCTAAGATTTCGTTGAAATCGTTCAATGGATGGTCGGAGATAATTCAAGTTAGCTATCTTTGGCGTGGGAATAAACTTAAGTCCACGGTCTAAGATTGAATGCTGAAGGGGTGTGAGAATTTTGCGGCTCAAGTTAACTACAGTTTGGCCTAGCGGTGGCCTCTCAGTATTTTTATCCCCAGTAATTAGTTTAAAGACTTACTCGATGCTTGAAGCTGGTGTATCCAAAACAAATAAATGCTGTTTGCTGTTTCTGGAGACCAATGAAGATTATCAACTGTTTCGAATTCTTCTTCGTAGGGTGGTAAGATTGTTGCGCTGTTGATACTGGACTCCATCATCATGTTGTTGAGGGTGCTGAGGTTCTGTTGTGCTTTCTTCGAGATTTTATTTGAAATGGGTATACATGTGAAGAGGATCTTGGAGTTTGGGAAGGTTTTGTTGGCTGTGGCGATTAATTTCTGGGCTTGGTTGAAGGAGGTCTTTGGTATCTGATCACGGTTGTTGAGGCCTACATGAAGAATAATGGTAGTAGGTTTGGGATCATGGTCGTATGATTCCAGGATTGACTGTATGTGATGGATTTGGGCACCGGGGTAAGAATGTATTTCGGTGTCCGAACTGGTTTTGGTAATTCGATTCAGGTTAGATGATCCAATTATTAAGGTTGATTTCTTTAGAGCAGGTAGTTTCCATAATGATTTGTCCTTGGTTTGGTGATAATATGGTTTGGTAGCGGATATAATGGTCGTCGACGGTGTGATTGGTACTGGTTTGGTAGTTGTTAGAATTGTAGCATTGGGAACGGACTGGGATCTGGTTCGAGGAGGGGAAGGTCTGGATACATGTCTCGACTTGGATGGAGACTGAGGGGTGGTTTGCTGGTCCAAAAACGCACAGAAGGAAGAAAGGTTGGCGGATCGTGGATCACGTGGTGAAGATTCAGATGGTGTGGAAGGGGAAGACGAGTCTGAAAGTGAAAAGAGAAGGGGTGTGCCCTCTCTACGAGAGCGTTTACCTATGTCTGCTGGACTAGGAGTAGGTGAACTTCGGGCTCGTTTAGGGGTTTGGTTAGGCAGCGTGGTAGCTCTAGATGGTGCAGGTGTAGTGTCCATTTCAGTTGGTAGAGATATGGTTACTCTGGTTTTTGTTTCGTTGATTGTTTGGTAGAATTTGGAAATTACAGCTTGAGTGAGACGTTTCCCATAGGAGCGACGGGCCCAGGACAGGGCATGAGAAACGATGCGGTCGACGGCAGGTGATGATAAAGACTTGGTACGAATGGTGGTCAGCTTCTCTTGAAGTGTGGTTTGGTAATGGTCGATCAAGACCTGCGTAACCTTACAGAGCCATGTCCGATTGAGGGATCTAATATTCGCCGACAGCTGATGTTTTCATTGCTGGACGGATAAAACTATCCAACTCAGAGACTTTGCGTTTGAAGGTAAACGCTGGTTGGCCTTGCTGTTGAAGGGTAAGGATTGCCAAATGATGGAGGCACTGCAAAACTTGGAAGAACACCTTCACAAAGGGTTCTTCCTCCTTATGAGTGGGGACTGGTTGGCGTCGGTGGGCTGGTAGTCGTTTCTGTTGTTGGTCAGGTCGATGGTTACCTCTTGATTGGTAGGCTGTGTTGTAGGTAGGTCGGCGATGGGGTGGGATATAGCTGGATGGGTTGGTTGGTGGTCGGCGATTGGTAGGTGGTAGAGGTCGATGGAAGACAGGGCCGTTGTAGGGTACGTGATATTGGTTTGGTTGGCGATTAGTGTTTCTATTTCTGGCTTCTTGCCAGTGGTTGTTGTAGTTGGGGAGCATAATGAAAATAACTTGGGGTTAGAAGGGAATGTACAGCGGATGTAACAGGAGGAAACTGTATATGCTAGCGTGAAAATGTTGGGATCAAATTATGTAAATAAGTCAAACTGGGTTTGGGGATATATAAAGCAAGATGAAAAATGCAAAAAAATATATATTTAGGTGATAAATAACGCTAACAATGATGTGAAAAATTATAACAAGTAAAACAAAAACTTACGCAATTGACACGAACCGGTTTTCGAAATATTATCCTTTTTCAAGTGTCGAGGAATGGTTAAGTATATACAATATATTGGCGAAACATTAGAAGCAGCTATTGAACTTTTCATGTGAGGAAGTATAAGAATCGTAAGTGAAGAAGTATTTCACAATGAAAAGTGATATCAGGTGTCTAGAAGAGTAAGCATACCATGGATGGTGTAACACCCGTCATAGCTGCTTAGGAAGTATTTGAGATTTGACTCGTTTCAGGGTAGAAAAGGTGAGTTCAGCTGTAGCTGTCGAAGCAGCTTTCTGGTAACTAGAGTCACGTCTGTGTGTTCACGGTCTTCATCGATTTCAATACTTCATCTACATCAAGATGTTGACCAATTGACAAACTTTTGCTTTATCTTTGGAAACCCAAAAGTGCTGCTGCTCAGCGTACCAAAATCAAAGTCTCCACTAAAATCAAAGTCTCCACTAAAATCAAAGTCTCCACTAAAATCAAAGTCTCCACTAAAATCTCCACTAAAATCAAAGTCTCCACTAAAATCTCCACTAAAATCAAAGTCTCCACTAAAATCTCCACTAAAATCAAAGTCTCCACAAAATCTCAACTAAAATCAAAGTCTCCACTAAAATCAAAGTCTCCGCTAAAATCTCCACTAAAATCAAAGTCTCCACTAAAATCTCCACTAAAATCAAAGTCTCCACTAAAATCAAAGTCATTATTTGGACATAAAGCTTCCAGCTTTGGCCATCGATGTTCTATTGTAAAACAGCAAATTCTGCAGATTTCTGTAAATTTATTTATGAAAAGTTCATATATCCTTGACCTGCATGCGTGCGAATATTAAAGTGACGAAATACGATGACCTTCTAGAAACTAAATATAAAATGTGAAGAAGTTTATAATGATATTTATGATGGTAATAACAACAAGGTAATTAATACTCCTGGATATACAACAACAAAAAAAAAATCATAACCTACAAATATAGTTCCCATATACGCTATTTAGTTTAGACACAGACCCTCAATAAAATTGTCTAGAATGAAAGTACAGAAATGAAGAAGAGGACGTTATTTCAACATATCTGAAAGCGGGAAAGAAAAATATGATTCAACACTGTTTATATAAAATCGTAATAAGAGAGGGTCGCTTCTGTGTCAATTGTGGAGTTTTGCTGACTGGTGTTAAAATTGGATTTAGGCAGCGCCCCCTTGAAGAATTGGTTCCCCTTAATTTTATGTCGCTGGTGGGGCAAGTGCCCACCCCCCTGTATATAAGTTTTGTTTGTTTTTTAGTTTTGGCTGTGGCTTAGGGACAATGCAAATCTTTCAGTCTCTTGTGAATACTTTTTATAGTTCTTCCATGTTATGAATTATTTGGATGTGTGAAATAATTTGTAATAATATAAATCATGAATATTTTGCTTCTTTGTCAGCCATTTTGAATCCAAAATGGCCGTCATTAATAAAATAATGATGTTTATTGTGTGTTTATGTTCAGAGTGGTATACATAGAGATGCTATGCCAAGTTTTGTCACTTTATATGCATCCGATATATTTTTAGCTGCATTACAGTAATAAGCTCATGAAAAACTACAGTCATTTTCCGCCATCTTGAAAATGGCCGCCATAATGAAAATTTTAGGTGGCTAATGTCAGGGGAATGGTAGAGCATGGTGCATGCCAAATTGGATGATTGCATCATAGAGTGAAAGATTCTTGTGATATTTTGAGTTAATCTGTTGACACCATTATAAGATAAGAAGAATGAAGGTCATGTCACGAAACGTGTTTTTATGCAATTGTGCATTTAATCTGACATGATTTTCCCATCCTCTAGACAGCTGTTATTCACTATCGTTGTCAGCCTTATCTTTATACGCCCACATGAAATGGGGGCGTATATTAGCGTCACCCATATCCGTCGGTCCGTTCGTTCGTCCGCCTGTCCGTCCACAATTGCTAAAAAACACTCTACAAGACACAATTCTTGACAGATTTTGACGAAACATGGTAGGAGTGTTTGTTATCACCCAAGGATGAACCCTATTAAAATCAGAAAAATAGAAAAATAATTGGTATGAGTTATTGCCCTTGTTCTTGGAAACGCTTTAAATTGTTAGCTCGTAAACACTCTAGAAGGCACAATTCTTGAGAGATTTTGTAATCTGTTCAGTTTAAAAGAAGTGTATGACTGAAGGTTGAATATTTCATACTGGTAATTGTTACTGTACTGCTAAATATTTTTATTTAAAATCAAAGCTGCTAGTGGGTGTATATTACCTTGTCTGGCTGTATCTTAATTTGAATGTCTTATCTATTCTCCTAGTATAAAAAGAGAAAATTAAATACTATCATAGACATTATTATAGAAATCATCCAGGTAGGTTTATTATTGTAAGATTTGAACGACATATAGAAGCGAGGAGCACATATAACAAAACACAAGACAATATTATGGAATATAAAACACATATGTGCCTAATCTTATTAAAGAAGTGTGTTATATTCTATAATATTGTCTTGTGTTTTGTTATAGGTTCATTATTATAGTCAAACACAGACATTTGTCAAAACATAAACACAACTAGTGTATTATATCTTAGAGGTGGTGGGTGTAAAATTCCCAACTCTCCGAATTGGGTCAGTAAAGCAAGAATCTCTAGACATAACTAGCAGTGAGTAAGCCTAAGGTGGGGCAGAGGGGGCAGTTCTAACCCTCACAGCCCTGAAAGCAACTTTTGCGGGCAAAAATCTCATAACTAGGTAAGAAATTCAGTGTCTGAAGCTGACCAGACTGATACCGGACAGTAAATCTTTGATTCGTGAACATCAAGCTCAGGGCGGCACACACTAAGAACTATCATCTCATTATCAAAATCTGACCATATTAATATTGATTATTTTTTGTAATAAAGAGTGATATTCAGTAAATGTGAATTTTACTTGATTATTGAAAGGGGTCGGTGGCATCTGGTAGTGTAGAGGTCAGGTGAACAGGGTGAAAAAAGAATGAGAAGCACTGCTCTGATAGATATTTTGACATATATTGACTGGAGTCAAAAACTAGGCCCTATTATATGGGGATTTTCTACACCTCCGACGACCTTTTTCTCATATAATATTAAATTAACCTTTACGATGACTGTAAATTAGGTTTATTGTCTCTACACTAACCAACTTTCAAAATATCTATCAGAGACTGGAATATAGGCAGATGTTTCGGTTTACAAGCAAACAAGCACTGGAATTAATACTTCACTGTAAATCTCAACAAGCGCTGGAGGAACGAACCACAAACTAGATTAAAGGGAAAGGTGTTCCAACTTTTTGTATCAATCATACCTTTGTCTCAAAAACGAGATTCCTTTTAGCTCAGCCAATCAGTTGTAGTGTTCACAGCTCACCGTCGAAATTTGAGGCTTCAAATCCACGTGTGTCCAGAATTATCCACATTCGAAAGTTAAAAAGACGAGTCGCATTTCATGAGACACTGTTCAAACCTGAACACTTAAATTCACGGTTTTTCTATTGATTTTTTCAGACATGAATTGGAAGGTGCTGGCTGGTGTTTTATTGGTATTGTACGTGTCTGTTACTACTACCAAGGAAATAAGAGACACTGCCTCTAACATCCAAAATGGTTTATCAGCAGCTAAGGAACTTGGTGACTTTATTGTGGCTAAAAATTTCAACAATGTCATTGGAAAACTGGCTTCTGCTGTAACTCCCTATCTCGGGATCGTTGGACCCTTCGTTTCCTTCATCATGGGATTTTTCGGACTATCTGAATCAGCCGAACTTAAAGCCATAAAACGTTTAAACCAAGACGTTGACAATCGATTCGATAAAGTTGATATAGAATTTGATGAAGTGAAAAACCTGATTGAATGGAGTAAAATACAAGTACAGAATTCTAATGCTGAGCAAAATATTAATGCTGTTAATACGGACTTCGAACATATCTACACATTTTCATCAGGAGCTGTTAAGACTGCAGTCTCTACCTTCGTTGATAACTTCAAGACTGTTTATCAAGATAGTGGTACAAAACTCTATGACGGCATCATGAATGAAGGACAGATGTTTGGAGATGGTCTTTTTAGTGCTGTCGTCAAACATACCGAGTACGACAGAGGAAAAAGCCAAACCTTTATGCTGGGGCTTCTTAAATTGTTGATGAAAGCAGCAAAGTTGGAACTGGCTTACCATCAACTGAAAGGTCACACAGCAGCTCTACATGATTACCAAAACGTATGGAATACTCGATTTACCCATATCAGATCCAAAATGATGTCTACAGATAACTATATTGTCAGTCAGTATGATACTCAATCTGGAAAAGATATTGACAATTATCTTATAAAGAATCCGAAAACTAAAATGAACAACAATGACTTCAACAACATGCTGTATGATTTCCTGGCTAAAAAATACTTCTGGCGAGATTGGTTCACTGTAACTTACAAGCATATAAACGGTGGTAAAGTCCATAAAGTCGGACAGTGTGGTGGTTACACCAAGTTCAACAGCAATAATAGTGGTAGAAACGTTGTGGTCGATAGTGTTGACAAACTAAAAGGACACATCAATAGATATAGAGCTCTGGAAGTTATACATAGTGTAAATTCATGTCGTAGATTGTACCACTTTGGTAAACCCATCTATATACCAAAACATTGCGACACAGCCTACAACACTTTCCCAGCGTCAGTCAAAGACCATTGCGATCCGTATGCCGCCCAAGGAGTTATTGCTTATACAAGGCACAATGGTTATGAAGTTTATTTCAAATCTGCTCCTAATCGATTGACTATCGCTAGCCAAGAAGATTGTAGCTTTGTTTATGTCTTTGGTTGATAAAAAAATGTAAATTGTTCCGATTGTTATCATTTCTTCTCTTTGAAACCTTCTGTCATATTTTGTACAATAGAACAAATTGCTAGAGGTCTAACTGTAGTAAATTATGCCTTAACATAACACAAGTCCTCGGGCCCCAACTCCTACAGAGGGTTGGGGGAAAGGGGGGGGGGGGGAAGGTGGCGGGGGGGGCCCACCCCAGAAAAAGATACCAACTTAATAACAAATGTTCCAAAGTAAGTATTGGACAATAAACCGCGGACCCGTGCTAGTCTGGAACATTAAAGTACAATTACAGAAGTGAACAGGAAATTACAACTCGCTTACTTCCCCTTGTTGGACCTAGACCACTTATATTTCAGACTTACACATGTAAGTCGAGTGAAGTAACCTACTGGCACCACACTGTGAACGTAAAAGATTCCTTGACAGTTAAAAATCGAAAAAAGTAGGCCTATGCTAAAAATTGAACGCGTTCTCAAGAACAGGGGCAGTAACTCATACTAAATATTTGTTGATTCTTTGATTTTCAATAGGGTTCATCCCTGGGTGATTACGAACACTCACACTAAGTGTCGTCAAAATCCGTCAAGAATTGTGTCTTGTAGAGTGTTTACGACGGCCAGACGGACGGAGGGACGGACATGGGTGACGGCAATATATCACCCCCTGGTGGATATGACAACAACAATTCCAAATTCTCACCCATTGAATTCTTCATCAAGTGTGCCAGTGGAAAATATAGCCTGCTCTGTTTCGATTTCCATCTGTGGAGGGATCTTTAACGTGCACAGCCTGAAGCACAGGAGGCTTCGTTTATTGTCCCATCCGAACGACTAGACGCTTTTTCCATGTCAGCCCCTCTTACCTACATCACTGACAGAGGGAAACGGGGTTGAAATATCATCTCGACCTATGCCGGGATTGAACACTGGACCCCCAGGTTAGCAGCAATCGTCTCACCGAGCACCACGGTTCTCTGAATATGAACATAATCACCTTTATTCATGACAACATCAAGTATTACCATGACTTGTAATTCTTTGCTGTGGACTGGTTAGTGAAGTTAGATTGAAGATCCAGATATACTCAGCTAAAAGACTCTTTTAAAATTTCTTAGAATCTAATTCAATTACATTTCATACTGCGCACCCGAGTCTTGCAACTCGGTTCATTTTGGTTTGAAGCATGTTCATATGTGACACAAGTGATACTACGTCTTAGAATGAACCTAAAATGGTCAATATGAGTATATATACCTAGTGTAATAAAGTTATAATAGATTCCCTGTAAAATCTAGAAAATTGGAATATTCATAAACTAAGTAATTATTGAAAAACACTTAATGTTTTGCGTTTTTCAATAGTTAATTGCATTTTTATACGCCCACATGAATATGTGGTCGTATATTGTCGCCGCCCCTGTCCGTCCGTCCGTCCGTCAACATTTCTTGTGAGCACTATAGAGACTACAGTTTGTATCTGATTTTGATAAAACTTAGTGTGATGCTTTAGATTGATAAGATCTCGGTCAAGTTCGAATTTGACATATTTTCGATGAACGGTTTTTGAGATATTGCCTTTGACTTAGAACGCCTTGAAATTTGTTAAAAATAGTTCGTGGGCAGGATTGAAGCTACAGTTTTCATCCGATTCTGGTGAAACTTGGTGTGATCATTGGAATTGATAAGATCTCGGACAAGTTCTAACTTGAGGCATTTTCGATGAACGGTTTTTGAGTTATTGCCCTTGACTTTGTTAAAACGCGTAGAAATTTGTTAAAAATAGTTCGTGAGCAGGATTGAAGCTACAGTTTTCAACCGATTCTGATGAAACTTGGTGTGATCATTGGAATTGATAAGATCTCGGATAAGTTCTAACTTGACGCATTTTTGATGAACGGTTTTTGAGTTATTGCCCTTGACTTTGTTAAAACGTGTTGAAATTTGTTAAAAATAGTTTGTGAGCAGGATTGACGCTACAGTTTTCAATCGATTCTGATGAAACTTGGTGTGATCATTGCAATTCATAAAATCTCGGACAAGTTCTAACTTGATGCATTTTTGATAAACGGTTTTTGAGTTATTGCCCTTGACTTTGTAAAAACGCGTCAAAATTTGTTAAAAATAGTTCGTGAGCAGGATTGAAGCTACAGTTTTCAACCGATTCCGATGAAACTTGGTGTGATCATTGAAATTGATAAGATCTCGGACAAGTTCTAACATGAGATATTTTTGATGAACATTTTTTGAGTTATTGCCCTTGACTTTGTAAACTCGCATCAAAAGTTGTTTTTTGCCCTTGATTAGAGCTGTGTGATTTAATTGTTTGTTGTATTTGGGTTATTGATATTGATTTTAAAAAATTTTGTGGAATTATTCAGAATAAGTAATTTCTTCAATATGAGAAAATTCGTACTTTAGTCACTAAAGGCTGTTTTATTATTTCTGACAGCTGCCAGTGGGCGTATGTTACCTTGCCTGGCAAGCTATTTTTATTAAGTTTTTTGGATTTATCGAATTATAGAAGGATCCTGTTATGTTAATTATGACACCAGGTCAAGTATAAAATATTTAAATTTTATGTTTATTCTAAGACGTTGTATCCCTCTAAAAGTATTTTGGCAATGTTGTCTGTAATTCTAGAATTTTGAATCTCATTTAAGAAAAACTTTCCACTTGTCTTGTAGATGTATTTTACTTGATCTGAATTAAAATATTGAAATTTAGCACTGGTGTTTTATTCAATGTAATTCCTTTGCAACCAATTTAGCAATTTATATTGGAAGCCTACGACTCTTGGTTATGGAAACGGTCAGTCTCAGTCAGAGAGAATCATTCACCATCTGATATTAGTGGCACTTCTTAACAAAAAAAAAAGATAGAATTTATGAAAGCGCTAGTCTTGTATTGTCATATTTTTATACAGAAAGTTTAGATAATAAAAATCTTGAGGTGGAACTTAACATTCATCAGTTTACAGACAACAACAAGTACTCAATCTTTTATTAAGTAGTCAAGATATCAGTACAGTATCAATGTCTAAACCATATTTTAGGGCTCTTATAATCCAATGATGTCAGAAACTATCTGTTACATATGGCTGCCATTTTGAAATCCAATATGGCCGCCAATTCAAGCTACTTTACTCAATCTTTTATTAAGTAGTCAAGATATCAGTACAGTATCAATGTCTAAACCATATTTTAGGGCTCTTATATGAGAGCACAGCTCTCGCGACGGCGAAGAGCGAAGCTCTCTATAATGGTAACACATACATATACATCAATTCGTTTCAGAAAATTTATGCCCCACAGGTAGTCAAAAAAAAGTGAGAAAAAAAGATGGCGGATCATGGGGGACGCCATGTTTGTTGACAACTAGATCGCCAGTCAATCGTAGTTTCGGAGTGAATATTCTGGAATTCTTTCAATAAATTACGACAATTGTTTCAAACACAGAAAGGGACTTTTTGTACCAACTTAACAACCCTTATGTTTTATTTTTATTTTTCCTGGATATTCTTTATACTTCATAAGGAATAAAATGACAACTTTGACCTCATTTCCCAAGACTTTCTCCCAAGCAATGATGGCGGCCTTGTTGACATCATACGTCATGTTATAATGGCGTCATCGTTATAGATGATTACTTTCACATCTTATAGAAATTTCTATTGTCTACAGATCTTATACTCATAGAAGATTACCTTCATACATATGATTAGAAGACAAAATAGTTTGCATTACATACAGATCAGGTTTAATTTCTTTTATTTAATTATTATTACAGTGAAGTAACCTAATTTCGTGGAAACCTATTATTCGTGGATTTCCGCAAAGGATTAATAATTTACATGAGCGACCTTGCGCGACCTCCGCATTAGTTTGTTTTGATAAACATGGGTTTCCTCTACAATATGAGCTAGTAGAATGAATTCAGTAGTTTTAAGCAAGGTAAAATGTATTAATGTATACTTTGACAAATACAAAATGGCGGATTTCAGTTATTACCAAACGTCACCATTTTTTAAGCGGTAATCGGAATTCCAAGTGTCGTCTGCTAGAATGTAGTCCAACGAATGAAGTCACGTGATCAACTAGCGGATTCCGTGTCAGCAGAAATTTTCTATGGAACACAAAGTGGGCCATATCCTTATGTTGTTTCAGTGACTTTTAGCAATAAATCACGCTACGTATCTTATTTTGTCAGTCACTATTTTTTTCTAAAATCATGGTTCTTTGAAGAAATTGTCACTAGTTATAATGAATTGATATTACAGATAAATACTAAGAGAAGTTAATTATACCACCCGTTATCCATACAACGTGTTTTTCTAGACTTATTTATAGAACAAACATTGTACACGAAAATAGGTGACGCATTCTGCCGCCGTTACCGAGTTTGTTGCTCATGAAATATTGGTCAAAGTGAAGGATTAATAAAGAAAATCGAAATAAACCAATTCTAATTATTTTGTAGAATATCCGAGGAAACATTTAAGACATAAAAAAAAAATTTCGTTTTTTTAACTTTGACGAAATTCGGTGTTGAATCCTTATATCCACGAAAATAGGTTACACCACTGTATATAACAACAATTGTCAGTTGTTGACTAATGCCTCTCAAACAAGTCCAAGAAGATGTGGTTGGCTATACTAGTCGTTTTAATCTAATCAATTCTTTCAGTTTGATCACGTGATATATCAGACCCATGATAATAATACACACATCAGTTAACCAATCAATTCATTCAGTTTGATCACGTGACATACCAGACCAATGATAATAATATACATAACAGCTTCAGTTAACCAATCACATTCAAGAAGGCCCATAATTCACATCCAATCAGGTTTGTTTTTGACATTTACTCTTGGCACCTAGGCCTAGATCAGGCCAAAACGCTTTTTTCATTCTGAAGCAATAGTCCCTTAGATTAGGGAACGTTTCTGAAATGATAAAAAAATACCTGGTTGAAACAAACTACGGATATAAGAAAAGTTGTCAAAAACTTGCTGAACTTTGTAATAGTCCTGTCAAACAGGCAAAAACGTTCTTACTGAGCTGCTACTTCGAAATTGGCTCAGTGCGTGTTAAGGTGGCAATAAGCCTGGTATGAGCGTGTAGAACACACTGGAATTTGTGCAAGAGTCACTACTATTCACCGAATCACGGCGTATATTTTGGACATGTTCAAAACAAATGACAAGGTTCGTTGGTCTGTTTTAGAAGGCGTTGAGAACGCCATGAGATCGAGAAGGTCGTTAGACAAGCGTTGTTACATCACCTTGAGCTTTATAAAAGTACATAATTCGCGTAGCAAAGACGCTGTAAAAACATTAGAACAAAATTTGGGCATAACTCGCGGTATGGGGCCGATTTGTAATTTTATAGGACTTTTATCCAGTTATTTTTACGTTTGACCGTGACCTAGTACGTTTCATGTTGCCGTAAGATTGTAAATGGTAGCAATCCGGTGTGACGGGGCTATAAATAACGAATTGTACCCCACGCCAGGGGGTAGATAATTTTGAATCGCTCAAAACTTACCATGAAGGAGTTGTTCACCATGTAAATTTGGCATGTGCCAACAGAATTGGGATAATTGGCCGAATACCACACAGTCCACCTCACAAGGCTGATTGCCGAATAAATATCTCTTCTTTCCTACAAATACAATTCAACTAGCTAACCCTCAAATAAATAAATATATATATATATAGCTGACCATGAAAACGGTTTTCACTTCAGATAAATGATGTCTTCCCACATCGCCCCTTCCCAAATCGCCCCTTAACTATTCCCTTTTCACCCCTTCCCCGTCTTGCCCCTTTCCCATATCGCCCCTTTCCCATATTGCCCCATACCCATTTCGCCCCTTCCTTTTCTATAACTAGATCACATAATAAATTATGCTTGTTCCGATTTACCGCTATGTATCTGTCTTTAATGTTATGTATCTGTCTTTAATGTTATGTATCTGTCTTTAATGTTATGTATCTGTTTTAATGCTATGTATCTGTTTTTACCGTTATGTATCTGTCTTTAATGTTATGTATCTGTTTTTAATGTTATGTATCTGTTTTTAATGTTATGTATCTGTTTTTAATGTTATGTATCTGTTTTTAATGTTATGTATCTGTTTTTAATGTTATGTATCTGTTTTTAATGTTATGTATCTGTTTTTAATGTTATGTATCTGTTTTTACTGTTATGTATCTGTTTTTACTGTTATGTATCTGTCTTTAATGTTATGTATCTGTCTTTAATGTTATGTATCTGTTTTTAATGTTATGTATCTGTCTTTAATGTTATGTATCTGTTTTTACTGTTATGTATCTGTTTTTAATGTTATGTATCTGTTTTTAATGTTATGTATCTGTCTTTAATGTTATGTATCTGTTTTTAATGTTATGTATCTGTTTTTAATGTTATGTATCTGTGTTTAATGTTATGTATCTGTCTTTAATGTTATGTATCTGTCTTTAATGTTATGTATCTGTTTTTACTGTTATGTATCTGTTTTTAATGTTATGTATCTGTTTTTAATGTTATGTATCTGTTTTTAATGTTATGTATCTGTCTTTAATGTTATGTATCTGTCTTTAATGTTATGTATCTGTTTTTACTGTTATGTATCTTTTTTTAATGTTATGTATCTGTTTTTAATGTTATGTATCTGTCTTTAATGTTATGTATCTGTTTTTAATGTTATGTATCTGTTTTTAATGTTATGTATCTGTCTTTAATGTTATGTATCTGTTTTTAATGTTATGTATCTGTTTTCAATGTTATGTATCTGTCTTTAATGTTATGTATCTGTTTTTACTGTTATGTATCTGTCTTTAATGTTATGTATCTGTTTTTAATGTTATGTATCTGTCTTTAATGTTATGTATCTGTTTTTAATGTTATGTGTCTGAAAAACTGTTAGGATATAAAACAAAATATTTTCTCACCCAAATAATCAGAAAGAGCTTTCAAATCTCCATACATCAGGTGATTATTTTCCTCTCGCGTGTGACGCCCGACCCCTTGGGCCCAGCCCTGATTATAGACTGCCCTCTTGAACAGGGGATACAACCGTTGGTGAAAGTCGTGATACCACCTCGACATCACCATTGTCCTAAAAGGTAGCATAAGAAACGTTAGACATAAAGAGATTGTAAAGAGGTTTTCTGACACTGATAGCATCAATTTACATCATTCTAATTTACAATCAGACGTCTGTGGTTCTTGTTAAAGAGATTGTAAAGAAGTTTTTTGACACTGATATCATCAATTTACACCATTCTAATTTACAATCAGACGTCTGTGGTTCTTGTTAAAGAGATTGTAAAGAGGTTTTCTGACACTGATAGCATCAATTTACACCATTCTAATTTACAATCAGACGTCTGTGGTTCTTGTTAAAGAGATTGTAAAGAGGTTTTCTGACACTGATAGCATCAATTTACACCATTCTAATTTACAATCAGACGTCTGTGGTTCTTGTTAAAGAGATTGTAAAGAGGTTTTCTGACACTGATAGTATCAATTTACACCATTCTAATTTTCAATCAGACGTCTGTGGTTCTTGTTAAAGAGATTGTAAAGAGGTTTTCTAAATTTATTTTGTGTATCAGGGACACTGATAGCATCAATTTACACCATTCTAATTTTCAATCAGACGTCTGTGGTTCCTGTAATTCTACTAAAACTGTGTTTGATGACGTCACTACTCACGCAGGCACTGTGTGATAAAGCAAATTTAAAAGCGAATTAAACATCAACTTACCAATACAAGTGTTCGTCAACCATCTTACAGAATCCCCGGCCTATTGCTTGTTGTTCGACAGATAGTGACATGTTCAAATCTACACAGTAGTTAGTATTTAGATATTCTAGAATAAAACTAGAATCTGCCACACACTTTCCGTTCAACTCTATCCAGGGTGTTTTCTTCTTACTCGACTTTTTCATAGTTTCATCATTCTACAATACAATGGTACTTGATAGTCTCTCTTCAAACTCTGCTAACTCTCTTACCATTCAAATTAAAGGTATACTACATCTTAGGATGACCAAAATATTATAATTCTTAAACTTGGTTAAAATGAGTCTTTGTTCATCAGTAGACTTACCTGGTGTTATAACTATACAACAGAATCTCTCTATAATCTAATAAATCTATAAAACTGAGTAATAATTCATTAAACTAAGTAATAATTCATTAAACTAAGTAATAATTCATTAAACTAAGTAATCATTCATTAAACTAAGAAATCATTCATTAAACTAAGTAATCATTAAACTAAGTAATCATTCATTAAACTAAGTAATCATTAAACTATGTAATCATTAAACTAAGTAATCATTCATGAAACAAAGAAATCATTAAACTAAGTAATCATTCATTAAACTAAGTAATCACTAAACTAAGTAATCATTCAATAAACTAAGTAATAATTCATTAAACTAAGTAATAATTCATAAAACTAAGTAATAATTCATTAAACTAAGTAATAATTTATTAAACTAAGTAATCCATTAAACTAAGTAATAATTTATTAAACTAAGTAATGATTTATAAAACTAAGTAATAATTCATTAAACTAAGTAATAATTCATTAAACTAAGTAATAATTCATTACACTAAGTAATAATTCATTAAACTAAGTAATAATTCATAAAACTAAGTAATAATTCATTAAACTAAGTAATAATTCATTACACTAAGTAATAATTCATTAAACTAAGTAATAATTCATTAAACTAAGAAATAATTCATAAAACTAAGTAATAATTCATTAAACTAAGTAATAATTCATTAAACTAAGTAATAATTCATAAAACTAAGTAATAATTCATTAAACTAAGTAATAATTCATTAAACTAAGTAATAATTCATTACACTAAGTAATAATTCATTAAATTAAGTAATAATTCATTACACTAAGTAATAATTCATTAAACTAAGTAATAATTCATTAAACTAAGTAATTTTGAAACATGTTTAGAAGTGTATTTCAATAATTATTTAGTTTAATAGATATATCATGTTATATAGAGATTCTATTGTTTAGTTATGACACCTGGTAAGTCTAACTGATGAACGTTCGTCAAATTAACCTGATAAACACCGCGTTAGCAAATACTAGCGGTGGAGACGGTAGAAATTGGATTGGTTAAAGCAGACGTTAACGAGTTAGGTCAAAAGGTTAATTTGTCGAAAGTTTAAGGGGGCTGCGGTTAGACCCTAACTAAAGTAACTATCTTTAAAGATAGTGGACCACAGCCATATACGCCCACCACGGCATGCGGATGTTTTTAGAGCGTTTACAAGCAAATGTCGACGGACGGACAGACGGACAGGGGTGCCGACAATATACGACCACATAGAGAGATGTATAAAAAAACGGAAGGAAAGTTTGGTGTAATTTGAATGAGATAGATACTTACTATATAAGGAATATTGGCCATTCTAAGATAAGTTTCCAACTTGACACCAAATGGTGTAAGAGTCAAATCCCACTGGCCACGTCCAATCTGATGTAAAATAACTCGATCTTTCGGCCATTCTTTTCTTTTCTTTCTACAAAATAAACCAGTTTTTTTAAACAATATTTCTATTGATCAGAAATAGTACAATTAAAAGAGATTGTAAAGATGTTTTCTAAATTTTGTATATATATCAGGGACTCTGATAGTATCAATTTACACCATTCTAATTTTACATCAGACGTCTGTGGTTCTTGTTAAAGAGATTGTAAAGAGGTTTTCTGACACTGATAGCATCAATTTACATCATTCTAATTTTACATCAGACGTCTGTAGTTCTTGTTAAAGAGATTGTAAAGAGGTTTTCTGACACTGATAGCATCAATTTACATCATTCCAATTTTACATCAGACGTCTGTAGTTCTTGTTAAAGAGATTGTAAAGAGGTTTTCTAAATTATATATGTATCAGAGACTCTGATAGCATCAATTTACATCATTCCAATTTTACATCAGACGTCTGTGATTCCTGTAAGTTTTTCACTAATCATAAAACATAATTTAAGACAGATAGCGTGTATTAATGACGTTATTAAATTAATAATGTTTTAGTCAGTACGCTGATGGGAATTGCTATGTTTGGATCTGAGTAAACTCACGGTGATAGATTAGGAACTCGACCTACCTAAAACGTTTATAAACTATAGCTCCACCTATAATTACAGAGACACCTGCCACCACTACCCATTTCTGATTTTCAGCCCAGAATGTCTGACACCACTGACTGATTTCTTCAACTTTCATTCTGAGATCCTGCAATAATAAACAGATATAATAATATAAACAAATTATAAAATAAAATTACCAGCACCAAGATAGTATCAGACCAGTACCAAGATAATATCAGAGCAGCACCAAGATAGTATCAGACCAGCACCAAGATAATATCAGACCAGCACCAAGATAGTATCAGACCAGTACCAAGATAATATCAGAGCAGCACCAAGATAGTATCAGACCAGCACCAAGATGATATCAGACCAGCACCAAGATAGTATCAGACCAGCACCAAGATAGTATCAGACCAGCACCAAGATAGTATCAGACCAGCACCAAGATAATATCAGACCAGCACCAAGATAGTATCAGACCAGCACCAAGATAGTATCAGACCAGTACCAAGATAATATCAGAGCAGCACCAAGATAGTATCAGACCAGCACCAAGATAATATCAGACCAGCACCAAGATAGTATCAGACCAGCACCAAGATAATATCAGAGCAGCACCAAGATAGTATCAGACCAGCACCAAGATAATATCAGACCAGCACCAAGATAGTATCAGACTAGCACCAAGATAATATCAGACCAGCACCAAGATAATATCAGACCAGCACCAAGATAATATCAGACCAGCACCAAGATAGTATCAAACCAGCACCAAGATAGTATCAGACCAGCACCAAGATAATATCAGAGCAGCACCAAAATAGTATCAGACCAGCATCAAGATAGTATCAGACCAGCACCAAGATAGTATCAGACCAGCACCAAAATAGTATCAGACCAGCACCAAGATAATATCAGACCAGCACCAAGATAGTATCAGACCAGCACCAAGATAGTATCAGACCAGCACCAAAATAGTATCAGACCAGCACCAAGATAGTATCAGACCAGCACCAAGATAATATCAGACCAGCACCAAGATAGTATCAGACCAGCACCAAGATAATATCAGACCAGCACCAAGATAATATCAGACCAGCACCAAGATAGTATCAGACCAGCACCAAGATAATATCAGAGCAGCACCAAGATAATATCAGACCAGCACCAAGATAATATCAGACCAGTACCAAGATAGTATCAGACCAGTACCAAGATAATATCAGACTAGCACTAAGATAGTATCAGACCAGCACCAAGATAGTATCAGACCAGCACCAAGATAGTATCAGACCAGCACCAAGATAGTATCAGACCAGCACCAAGATAATATCAGACCAGCACCAAGATAATATCAGACCAGCACCAAAATAGTATCAGATCAGCACCAAGATAGTATCAGACCAGCACCAAGATAGTATCAGACCAGCACCAAGATAATATCAGACCAGCACCAAGATAATATCAGACCAGCACCAAGATAATATCAGACCAGCACCAAGATAGTATCAGACTAGCACCAAGATAGTATCAGACCAGCACCAAGATAATATCAGACCAGCACCAAGATAGTATCAGACCAGCACCAAGATAATATCAGACCAGCACCAAGATAATATCAGACCAGCACCAAGATAATATCAGACCAGTACCAAGATAATATCAGACCAGCACCAAGATAGTATCAGACCAGCACCAAGATAATATCAGACCAGCACCAAGATAGTATCAGACCAGCACCAAGATAATATCAGACCAGCACCAAGATAATATCAGCCGTAGATCAGTAATTTTCAACAAACAGTACATCATTAACCGTGCAGAACCGGCACTCCACCAAATTAGTGGTAGGTAATTGCAGCAGTATATTCCTCGCCGTTTTTGGGACAGATGCGCCATTTTGGGGGGTTATCTATTTACCAAATTTTCCCTAAGTCTACGAACGGGACTGTTTTTTTTTTTTAGCTAAGCTAGTGTTCACAGCTCACCATCGAAATTTGAGCCTTCAAATCCAATCTGTGTGTCCAGAATTATCCACGTTTGAAAGTTTAAAAGACGAGTCGTCTTTTTATGAGACACTGTCATATATAGGAAAGACAGGAATTGAGGGAATTATGCGATTTTCTTTCATTTCTAGTATTTCTGAAGACTATTTACATATATTCAACACTCAAATCAACCCTCAAAATGGCGCAACTCTCCCTGCAATTTATTTATGTAATAACTGAAAAACCGAAATTGGAAATGGGCGATTTAGAAGGAGATCTGAGATATCTATCTATTTATTTATATCATGTGATATTATTTATTACAGCAGGAAACCCAATAAACTCTTATTTAAAAACATCATGGAAATCCCCTTTCTATTTTCAGAAATTCTCACCTGTTATAACAGTAATTGTTCTATATTAAAATGATAATATAACCTCAGTGGCAGCGTCAACCTCTGCTGAGGCTGAATTTAAATTCCACTCTGTGGTGGTGTCATAGTCGCGAGCCTCTCATAGAGTGTCTTAGAGCGTTCTCTTAAGAAAATTTTAGAAAAAATGAATTGATTTTGTGCATTCTGACACATATTTTAAAAAATCTTTACAAATGGGGGTGCAAACTCCCTCCCCCTTACCCCCCCCCCCCCCCCCC